AGTTACTCTATTTTAAATGCAGCCTGTTAGGCAGATCAGTTTTGGAAGTTGTGGATCTGGAATTGGATTCTTGAAAAACAATATGTCTACTTAACATTTGAAAGTCTTTGTGTATTCTTTATGTGCCCTTAGTACACCCTTTGTATAAGTCTGTGTCTGTTTGAAGACCACTGCCAGAAAAAAACTGTACATTTACATCAGGTTACGTGTAAAGGAAATATTCACAGCGCCAGTGTATGTATAGTAACAGCTAAAGCATGGAAACAGTTCAGATATACAAATAATAGGATTGATAAATTATGGTATGTTCAAACAGTAGAATGTTATACAACAGTGAAAATGGATGAACCATAAGTAAGATAAAACAACATGAATTGAACTCCTTATTTACATAACATGGCAGAAAAAAATAAAATTCTGTATTTTCCTTTGTATAATAGTCAAGAATAGTCAAAACTAACCAATATTGCTTATAGATGTTTACATACTTGTATATGGTAGAATATAAAGAAGAGCAAGGAAATGACTACCAGAAATCACAGGGTGATGGTTATCTGTGGGAACAAGGTAGTGACTGGGGATAGATACTTGATAGGGCAAAAGTAAAAGTGATTCTGGGAAACAAGCAACTTTGGCCAAATTAACCTCTTAGCTTCTGTTTCTTCGACTGTAAACTGGAATAATACAAGCACCTTATGAAAGTTGTTAAGATTGAGATAAACTATGTAAAGCACTTAGCTAAGTGACTGGCTCATAGTAAACACCACATGCAATATTTTCCTTGTTATACTGTGTCTCTCACCATGACTTGAAACAGATGCTATAGGCTTTTAGTAGGGAGGATAAAATTTAATAAAAGTGGATGAAATTGAAATAAGAAGAAAGGCTAGAGATAATGACAAGGACAAGTACACTGCATTTGGATGCTACTGCTACTTTTGTGTTATACGTCATGCTTATTGGGCATATTATTTTAATCTTCAAAATAACTCCGAGACCAGATTAAGTTATAACAGCCAGAGTTTACCCATATCATTTGGTTTAGATGTCATTGTCACCATTTTATATCAGGTCAGTTAGGCAACTTTCCCAGGGTTCTATAGCTACTAAATGATAGAGTTAGGATTTGAACCAAGATTTATTTCACTGTGTTGTTATTAAGTCTGACTTGAAAGTTGCTAGAAAATAGTCATTAGTCTATCTCCAGTATACATGCAAATTGTCTCAAAAGTATTTGGCTGAGTGTTGGGCTGGATCACAGACCCTTTTACCCTGTCCTGTGCAGGTCCTGAGTCAGGTAAGTGAGAGAAAAACCGAGCAGCCACTGGCAAAGTGGACATGCTTTATTTTTAGACGTGAGCTCTGCCGACCAGCTGTTCTTCTGTGATGATCTCTTAGTGAGAATGGCTGACCCTTGCATCCATATAATCTCCATACTTATTGTATGTTCAATACAATACTAGCCTTGAGGCTAGTATTATTGTATTGTTCAATACAAGCCTTGAGGCTTGTTCTGGTAGCTCCATCCTTTCAACTGTTAGCCATGAAAACACCACCTATACAACATGTCTAATTAGTAGTTGTCATTGGGGTGATTTTCTACAGGAATCCTGCAGCCACACTGGTAGGAAACTTGGTGCATATTCAGCAAGCTGACACATTGGCCACACAAATGTACGTATATGTCCAGTCGACTCTGGGCCTGCAGCCACAATACTATGGGCAAAACGACAAAAAAGTTATTAGCACCAATAGAGGGAGTTCTTGTTCCTCTGGCAGAATATATGCCAGCTAACCATGGTTGCAGGAAAGAATGGTTGCAAGAAAAGGTGATGTGGCTCTATGCAACAGAGCTTCCACTGGAGAGGGCCCACCCTTGCAGGGTCTCTCATTTAAGATCCTGACTGTCGGCCACAACTGCTGCGTCCACCCATTCAGGGATGGGGGTTGGATGGACAGCCTTAGTCCCTTTTTCAGAAGACTGTTGTACCGTTCAGTCATTCCCACTGACTGGGGATGATATGGCACATGTAATGTCCACTGAATGGACAACTGAGAGGCCCACTTCTGTACTTCATGTCCAGTAAAGTGGGTTCCATTATCGGTCTCTATGACCAGGGACCGACTGTACATTGCCATAAGGCTATTCAGTGCCTTAATAGTGCTTACCTGGTCTGGGGCCTTACTAGACCATACAAACAGAAAACCAGTAGCCGTATCAATGGCTGTGAAGATATACCTGTAGTTCTCTGACTTTGGCAGAGATCCCACAAGATCCACCTGCCACCATGTTAGGAGCATCCTCCTCTTGGGTTTTCTGCCTATCTGCATGCACCACCTGGCAAGCCATCAAGGGTACATCTGCCCATGAGGGGCATTCTTTCTCAGGTTTATGTGGCACTCGGTGAAACATCGACCACACGTCTTGCACCCAGCATGCTGCGTTCTCCAATGTAGCCACCCAGCTACATCAGCTGCTGTAGCTCTCTTTAGCCATCTTACCTTAGCCAGTGAATCAGCTTCATCGTTGCCTGGACTGGCTAAGGGGAAATGCCCTGTGACATGGAAAAGACTTCCTTTCCTTGTCCTAATTCTCATAACTCTTGCCACACTGCTTGTCCCCACAGGAGTTGGTGACCTACCAGCCACTACTGATACTCTGAAGTAGATATCCGAAGGGTAAGACCCTTATATACAACCCACTTACATTGTTCCAAATGACTTAGCAGTGTTGGAACTGCATTGGTTAAATCTGCAAGAGAATCAGAGATTAGTAAGACATCATCTATGTATGGAAACATCGTAACCATGCTTGGCCTAGTCCACTTGGCTAGGTCCCCACCCACTAAACCATGACAGATGGTTGGGCTATGCAGGTAACCTTGGAGCAACACTTGAAAAGTCCAGTGCCTTCCCTCCCAGATGAAGGCAAATAGATCTTGGCTATCAGCTGAGATTGGGATAGAGGAAAAAGCATTTGCAAGGTCCAGTACATAATGATAAGTTCCTAGCTAAGTTGTCAGCTGATCCATCAGGTTGTGAACCAAAGGCACAGCTGCGTGCAAAGGAGGAACTACTTTGTTCAGTTGCTGATAGTCCACAGTCACCCTCCAGGTGCCTTCAGGTTTTTTCACTGGCCATACTGGGGTGTTGAAGGGACTGTGTGTGGGATGAATGATGCCAACTTTCTCCAGCTCCAACATAGTGGCACTTATCTCTGCACTTCCTCTTGGCAAGCGATACTGTTTCACATTAACCATACGCCTTGGTGTGGGTAACACCTGTGGATCATGCTTGACATGTCCCTGCAGCACAGCCTTTACTGTCCATATCCACAACTGGAATTCTTCAACCATTGTTCGCAGGTGTAACCCATAAAGCACATCTATACCCAAGATGTATTTGGATACAGGAGATACATACACAGTATATACACAAGGGGGCAATTGTTCAATGTTCAGTGGCAAAGACACAGCTTTAACTGTAATGGAATGTCCTTTATAACCATCAACATTGACTGTGACCCCTGGAAACTTATCTGGGTTTCCACGTATCAGGCTACATTCTGCACTGGTGTCCACCAATGCCAATACATACTTCACATTTATCTCTGACCAATGTATTGCCAGTTCAACATGAGGCCTCCAATCCTTGTCTGCCCCCAAAAGGTGAGTACCTTGGCCTGTTCCCTAGCCAGAAGAGAACAGTTCATACACTTCTGCAGACGTAGCCATAAAATCTTTCAAATAGACTGGGCATACCTTGCCACATGTTTCCAGATGTTTAGTGAAACTCTGTTCAGGGCACAAGTGTTGCCATAAGGCAAACGAGACCGCATTTGGTTGCCAGTCAATTTTACTCTGTGAACTCCTTCCATAAACAGGACAGACCATATCTGCATACGGCTGGTCTCACTTAGTCCCTTCAGGGTAAAATCCCTAGCATTTCTTGGGGATTTAGTCTTTACCACCTTTCGGACCCCATTTGTTCATCTCCTCCCCTTTGCTTCACCTAGACTGGCCATCATGGTCATCACTTCATGTATCAGATGACCAACGTATGGCGCCAGTATGGCAGTCAGTGACCCAAAGTGTGTTGACAGGGCATTTTGCAGCACTGCGTCTCTCATGCTGCTGGTAAAACGTTCATCGTCTGGGCCATGAGTGTTTACATTCAACATGGACTGTTGCATCCCCAGCTCCCAGATTATTTGAACCAGCTTGGCATAAGTTTGCCACCTATTCACAGTTTCGGGCAGTTTTCCGGTGCTAGTCCATACAATCCAGATGACTGCCTTCACCCATTCCATTAAGGAGTGGTTATCCTGTCCCGTGCGTATCTGCAGCTGTTCTGTAACCGCTGCCACAGGGACAGATGCATGGTGATGGAAGCCAACTTTTCCATCTCCTCACCAGAGCACGTTATACCATCCACCCCTAGGTCCCACAGCTGCAAAAGCCAAGCAGCTAGGGGTTTGCCATGTTTCTGGAGGAACTTTTTCTCTAAGTCCAACAACTCAGCTTGAGTGTAGGGGACATAAATAGTGAATTGGGTCATTTGTGGGTTGCCTACCAGTTGTCCACCTGGTCCCATATTTCCAGTGGGGCCCAAGTCCACAGGAATGCTGCCACCAGGTACCACATGCTTGAGGGCAGCTACATCTCCTCCTCCTCCTCCTGAGGGGCTCATGGCTCCCTTACCTGCTCATCGTGCTGAAACTGTGCCAGTTATCGGGCTGGATCACAGACCCTTTTACCCCATCCTGTGCAGGTCCTGAGTCAGGTAAGCAAACGAAAAACTGAGAAGCCACTGGCAAAGTGGACATGCTTTATTTTTGGACGTGAGCTCTGCTGACCAGCAGTTCAAAGCCACTGCCTTCCATACTGAAAGGGTACACACAAATGGCAACAAGCCAAGTGTTTCGCGGGTGCGTGTGTGTACCAACTCTACTCCCATGCAACTTGTTTACAAAGGATGTGCTGAATCATACCCAGCCGGATATGAGGTGAGGGGGCCTGACCAAATCAGCTTTACGTTCCTCACACTGAGAGATACCGCAAGGAAGTTCTACTGAAGAACATTAGTGTGAGGAAAGTGGAGTTAGTTTAGTCAGGCCCTCTCCCCTCATATCCGACTGGGTATGATTCAGCACATCCGTTGTAAACAAGTTATGTAAGAGTAGAGTTAGTGCGCATGTGTGTCTGTGTACCCCTTGGCTCGTTGCCGCTTTTGTGTACTTTTGGACCTGCACAGGACTGGGCAGAGCGGTCTGTCATCCAGCTCGACCATTAGATTATACCTATTTCGAGGGAGGGACTCCATCTTCCATGGTTACACAACAGAATCTTGTTAAACTAATTCAGTTTATTATGGGTCTTCAGTATTAATTCTTTTTTTAAGAGAGTGCAGACTGAAATGCTGAAGTTTGGATTTTGGTTAATTATTTAGAATTTAAATTTCAGTAAATTCAAAATTACAGGCAAAAACTTCCAGGGTTGTTTGCTGAATTATATCTCACGTTGATGTATTGTGTGCTCACTGCCTTTGTTGTTTCTTGTGGTGAGACCAGATCTGATAGTTTAGGATCAGATTTACAGTGTACTCAAAAGATTAAAAAGATGACTTCATCAAAGATTCCGTATCTACTAGGTGTTGTAGATGTATATCCTTTGGGTATTGACTCCTTTCCAGCTGTGTTTGTTCTCACATCATTACTATTTGTTAATTTGCGTTAAGTAGCCCTTGATTTTAAATTTATTTTTTATTTATTTATTTTAAATTTATTTTTAATAGGCCTGTTTTCAGTTGAGAAACTATGATTAATATTGGTTTCTATTTCAGCATACAGATATAGTTAAGTAGCTTGTTGAAAACCACCTAGAGAGGTTGTAGCGATGTCAAGATTTATATTCCCAGCTATTTGTTAGTGCTTATAGTAATCTCCTTGTCTAATTTGCTACTCTTATTATGTTCTCTACTGAGCAGTTTGGATTAAAAAGGACTACTTTTGGCTTGCCTCCTGTATTACTTAAGAAAGGAGATATGGACAGTTTGTTTACTATGTTTGGCTTTAAAATGTTCGGAGTCCAGAGTAAGGTGAAAGCATAGCTTTCATGGGTCGGCTTTAGGTTCCAGAAACTAGTCGAGAGACTTTTAATAAGGTCATTATTGGGCTTTTTAAAAAGTTCCCATCTTTACATATTTATAGTTTATTCCTCATTAAGGAGCATATTTATGTACTGGGTCCCTCTGCAGTTGACATATTGGTGGGATAATAAATACAGAATTCCTTTCTCATTTCTATTTAGGTGAAAAAACGCCTCTTTTATCACTTAGATTGAAGAAACTCACAGTTTGCTGCTTCTGCCTTACTATTTTTGTTTTCTTAGGTTATGTGATTGTATTGAGTATTTTTCTTCTTGGATTTAAAATTTAAAAAAATTATTTCAGTAAAGATTTCTGCTGTTCCTTTGGAGTGGAAGTATTTTTCATGGTGGACCCTGGGAATACCCTCAGCAGGCAATACATTTCAGCTGACCATTAGAGAGCACAGGGATTTATGGCTGCTGGATGGAACTACTTTTCCTAATCAGTCCTATGCTCTTCCTTTTCAACCTATGGGGGGAGCGGAGGAAGTCTGTGAGTGTTTAGGTAGATTGCTGTTAGACTTCATAAAGTTTATGAAGAGAGAAAAAAATCAGAGAGGCTTTATTTTCTATTAATTAGATGGTATAAAGAGTAAATTGTTTATTTTTCTTAACTCTGGGAGTGTTAGTATATGAATGTGTCATGTTCTGTTCCCCTGCCCTCTACTGCCCTAACTTTTTATCAAGGAAAATTCCTAACTTACAGAAAAATTGAAAGAACAACCACCTACATTCAATAATTAATTATTAACATTTTGCTATATTTACTGATATGCATTTTCTCCTCTGTATGTGAAATGGTTTTTTTTATTATATAGTTGCAGAAAATTAAGTTTGGTATCATCAGTTAGTAGTTCTAATTTTCACATTCTGCCTGAAAGGTAGACCATTTTACCTTTTGAATCATAAAATGAACCAGTTTTGTTTTTGATATTATCGTTGTGATACAGACATATTCATTTAATCAGACCTAACCTTTGGGAACTTGGGAGACATAGCTAAAATAAAGAATTAGGAGACTGATAATAATTCACGTTCAGCTCAGAGTTGTTGTCAAGAACTTCAGTGTCTCCAAGCTGTCTGTACTCCAACAAACCAACCATACATACAGTCCTAGTCTCTCTCTCAAACTTTTTCATCATATATTCCCTGGGGGTGGGAATGAAGTAGGGAGAGGAAAGGTAGAAATGAGTATTTATTGGTTGGAGCTAGATGAATCTCATATTTTAGCTCATTTAATCATAATTATTTTGTAATAATGATAATGTTGTTATAGATATTAGTATCCCCATTTTATAGCCAAGGAGATTGAAGTTCAGATAAGTTAAATAATTTGCCCAAAGTCACATAGTGGTAGAGAAGGTGTGAAGCTGAATATGTGTCCCTGTATATTTGAATTAAAAAAAAAAAAATCTGTTATTTTCAGGTAACCGTGATGACAGTACATTTGAATTAGGAATCTCAGGTAATAAATAATGCTTTTGCCATTTTATAGTTGGATAAATTATTTAAACATCACATGATTGGCAGTCTGGTTTGGACTTGTCAATACTACTTCTTAGAAAGTAGTTGATAAAGGTATAGTAACTTTGGGATTTTAGGGGCCTTGATAGTGCTAAGTACTGAACTTGTAGTTATGTTTTGTGCTTTTGCTCACTCTAATAAAGAAAGTGGAAAATTACAGGGTAAATCAGCCTAAATACAGCTGAATTCTACCACATCAGCATTCTCAGAAGAAATGATGCCAAACATGGCACCACACCCAGAATCAGCCAGGCACAGCCCATGAAAGAACCTAAATCAGGAGTTCAGTGGGGGAGGTTGTGACTCACTCCAGAATCCTGGAGAAAAAGCTGACATGAGGATCTAAGGAGAAAACTAAAGTAAAGAATAGGGTCATAACTTGCTCAAGATTCTGCCAGTGGTAGCACTATGAATATGGGAGATTCTTGATATTCCTGAAGGATATATGTTGTTAAGAACACCCAATGCCAAAATGTTGCTAATTGAAATGTAGATGCTATGTAATTTACTAGGGTTATGCACAGGCTAAATGACTAGCCTTCACATTCAACTTCACACCTCTGTTTGTACTAGGTATTTTAAATAATGATAACAATTAACATTTATTGAGGACTAACTTTGTGTTAGGCCCTGTTCTAAGCAATTTTACATATTAACTCATTTAATACAGCAACCCTATGAGGTAGATGAGGAAATAAGATCAGAGAGGTTGAATGATGCAGAAATCATGGGTGTCGGGCCTTTAAAAACTAACGCCACCTTGGTGACATTACAAGTGGATTAACATGGCAGCCTAAGACAGCGCTGGGAGGAAGTAGGGTGGGAGTGTCTGCGGGAACTTTGCCTTAGCCCTTATTGGCCGCACTCGTGAACACTGCGTGATTGCAATAGATAGGCATTGAGACAGGAACCCTTAAGCTGATTGGAGGATGTAAAAAACCTGCCTTCCCCATTTGCCTTTAAAAGCAAGTGCTTGTGTTATAATAAACGGAACTTCTTCGACAGAACCCCCGCCGCGTCTGAGTGTCCTATAAACCGGGCTGTTTGGGGCCGGCGGTGTGCTCACCTCTCTTCACGGCTGTCTTCCCCCGTCTCCTTCCAAAGGGGACAGGAGGGAAAGAGGAATCCTGGGCCGTTTGCTCGCCCACCAAAAGGAACGAGGCTAGGGCTGTTCGGGTCGGCTGGCGGCAGACCTGACACATGGGGAGGCAAAGGAGCTGGATTTGAACTTATGGAGTCTTTGCTCTTTACTACATACTATGAAAATCATTAAAGTGTATCAGATAAGAACACTATCAAGTAGATATTATCTCATCCTTTCTATAAATTTTTTCTTTAAGCTCATGCTTATATAGCAAAAATGTGAATGCAAATTTTTAAAAAATTGTATCATAATTGATTATATGTATTTTTGGGGTTCCATGTTGATGTATGTTGACCAAATCAAAAATAAAACTTATTCTTTATGCTTCTTATACAATCTCTCCTTGTCCCCCCCTCCCACCTCTGATAACTCTAGATTCCTTCTCTCCTTCTGAAAGAGTAACAGTTACTCTGTTGAGTTGTTGCCTAGATGATCTGTCCAGTGCTGAGAGAGGTGTGTTCAGGTCCCCACTATTATTGCAGAACAGATGCTTTTATTGCTCTGGAATGGGCTTTGTGGAGAGAGACATCTTCTTTTCTTGGTCTCTGCTGGTGACTCTCTTTGTGTAAATGCACTTGAGTGGCTGGTGGGCCATCTGCTTGGTGGTTGTGGCGTCTAGCTGCTTTTGCAGCAGCTGTGGCTATTGTGGTGGCTGTGTTAGGCCACCCACATGCAAGTGGTGTTTTTGTGTGCTCCTTGCCTGGTTGTGGGAGAAAAGGTTGGTCACTGGATCCATGCCTCAGGACCCTGGGCAGGCTCTGTGGCAGCGGTGGCATGCCTGGTTGCTGGAGGGGAGGGGTCAGTCCCTGGCTCCATATCTCAGGACTCCAGGTGGGCCCTGTCGCAGAGGCGGTGTGCTTGGTTGTGGGAGGAGGGTTTTCCCCCAGCTCCATCTATTTTTACATTCTAAGTTGTTGTGGAGCAGTTGGGTGGGAGGGGGACAGGGGAAGGGGGAAGAAAGTAGGGCGGGAGAAGGAAGAAGGAGAGGGGGCGTGTTGAGACCCGTGGTACCCCCCTCATTCCTGCAGGGGAGACCAAGGAGCTTCCAGTGGTGGCTTGGTTGTTGGGCTGAATGCAGATGTCAGGGGGGTATGGCTGCAGCCCTCGGCCCCCCACTGACCTGGCTTGGGAGACAGGGGGCTTCTGGCAGTGGTTCAGTGGTTGTCACTGGGCTGGTTGCACATGTTGGGG